TAGACTTTTTTAAAATTATTCATAACTCAGAAACAAATTGATCAATTGTGCTCAGTTTAGGCTCGTCACAAAGGGAAAGAATTGTTCTTTGTGTTGAGAAAGAAAATTATTGAATTTTATCAACATTGCAACCCCTCATTGACATTTAAAAAAAAGTCAAAAGTGTCCGTTTTACCCCAACCTCGCTTTACCCCAACCTATATTTATTTAGGTATTCCACAGGAATTTCTTGCAGGATTTTTTACTTTGGAAGAATGTTCTTGAATCGTTCTTAGTTCCACATGAAAAATTACTATTGAATGATTATCAAGTCCCAAACGTTTGAATAGTCCAAAAAATTGTTATTTTCTGTTCAAGCAAGAAGTTTCAGTTTAAGCACTTGAGTGCCTATTTTGGTCTGGAAAAATGCTTGTTTGACGCAAAACAAGGCCCAAAAAGCTACATTTTTAGTTCGAAAAATTTGTACGAATCGTTCAACGAAATTGCTATTTGTTTGTCGTTTCGGCTATTCAATACTCAAATACAAGAAATTAATTTTTAAATAGAATACAATGACGATGTGACAGCAACCCTGTAACTTCGAACGAAATATTTATCATTCAGCTTCACCTTATGAGAGATATTCTCATCCTGAAATGTCACTCTCTCCCCGCGAATGATCAGCCTCTTGAGCCAAATGTTTCGTTGTTGAAAGCAGAGCCAAAATATCTACATGTTCATGCTGCCCCTTCCAAATCTCGAGCGAAACGAGCAAAGTATTACCAAAATTTTCAGCATCAGATCAGATTTTTCGATCAGATGATCTATCGTCACCAGAGGATGGAAAATTATCCGCAGAATGCTGATTCTCAAAGTGATGAGACCCACAATTCATTAAATCATCTTATCATTCATCTTTAGAAATTTTGTATTCTCCAATGAAATAATATCCACGTTGGGAATCATCACAAAAGTATTTTGTTGATTTGAACAACAATTACTTGATGATTTTTCCCCTAGATGATGAATTTTTCTCGTGAACGTAGATTTGGCTATTCAAAAAAAAATCATTTTCTGTATAACCAAAAATCCAATTTCCAACCCCCACAATTCATTAAATTATCTCATTCCTCATGTTTAAAATTTTTTCACAACCAATTCAGTAGCGAAGTCAATTTTGACTATTGACCAGTTTTCAATGAATATTTCAGAATCCAAGGGAGACAGCAAAATTTTTGTTATAACCTTTTTTGTAGGGCCGATTGAGAGCTACAACAAATGTCATTACCAAAAATTCGCCATCTCCCTCAGATTCGGAAATATTCCTCAAAAACTCAACTGGGAGATGAGTCGACTTGACCGTTTTACCCCTTCGCTACTGAATTAAAACAATTTCCGCCTTGATAATGCCCCGAAAAATCGCCCCCTCACCTCAATGTCATTTTCCACTCTTCCAGAAACCTCGGACAGCGAGACCGACGACCGTCCCAGCTTCGGAGGTCCCGCATCCCTCAAGAGGCCCTACGACTACCTCTCCACCCCTGATGACGACCTCACCCCCAGTTTCGACAACCCCCAAGACTTCTCAAAACGCCGAAAATTCGAGGACCCCCCCTCGAACCCCCCCACCGACCCCGAGGATGACTCACCCCCCGAGGATTTCCCCCGTTCCACGAAAAAGTCCACCAACCCCGGCCTCCGGATGATGGAGAACATGGGCTACAACAAGGGCCAGGGTCTCGGTAAGAAAAAAGACGGCATAAGAGAGCCCATCCAAGCCTTCCGGCAGAAGGGCCGACGGGGTCTGGGTCACGACAACAAGCCACTGGCCCAAGCCGTTCAGAAGTGGAACCCCTCGGACGAAATCGTCAAGGTCAAGGAGGAGATGGCCTGGATAGTGAACGACGAGGAGCCCCCCACCTCCGACGACCTGAAGGACTGGCTGCTGCGCGGGCCTCGCAAGGAGACCATCGACGACGAGACCCTCTTCTGCGAGCCCCAAATCCTCCACGAGGTGATCAACTCAAAGAGCATCTTCGACGGCCTCCCCAAGCAGGAAATGCAGAAGGCGAGGACTCGCTCCAATCCCTACGAAACGATCAGAGGCGCCTTCTTCCTGAATCGAGCAGCTGTCAAGATGGCCAACATCGACAAGGCCTGCGACTTCATGTTCACACAGCCGAAGGGATCGAGCACCAACGATATCCTGTACTTCGCTGACGTCTGCGCGGGTCCTGGGGGCTTCAGCGAGTACATCCTGTGGAGGAGAAAGTGGCACGCCAAGGGCTTCGGCTTCACCCTGAGGGACTCGAACGACTTCAAATTGGACGACTTTTATGCTGGATCACCGGAGACCTTTCACCCCTTCTACGGCCCCAAGGACGACGGCAATGTCTATGACCCTGAGAATCAGCTGGCCTTCCAGCGGCTCATCATGGAGCACACGAAGGGCGTCGGGGTCCACTTCATGATGGCTGATGGTGGCTTCTCGGTCGAGGGGAAGGAGAACATTCAGGAGATTCTGTCGAAGCAGCTGTACCTCTGCCAGTGCCTGGTGGCACTCATGATCGTCCGGGAGGGCGGCCACTTCGTCACCAAGCTGTTTGATCTGTTCACGCCGTTCAGTGTGGGACTGGTGTACTTGTTGTACAGGTGCTTCGAGAAGGTCTCCGTCTTCAAGCCCAATACTTCGAGACCTGCCAACTCTGAGAGGTTTGTTTATTAAACGGAGAGGAGATTTTTAATGAAGAATATGGTGATGGGACATTGAGGCCCGGGTGTACTATCTTTCGAACGTTATCTCGATTTTTTTTTCATCTTCGTCATCTGAAATTGTCAATTAAGTTCTGCGTCATGCAGAAGTTTTGAAAAATTATGAATGAATAATCAAAAAAAAGTAGAAAAAATTCTTAATTTTTTCAAAGAGCATTTTTAATTTATATTCAGAATAAGTTGAATAACAAGAAATTGAAAAATGTATCTGATTTACGGTGACAAATGGCGGCCTGTCACCCAATATCATGCAGGGGGAAGACTGATTTCGTAAATCTTTTCTCACACTGCACAGAGACATTTATTACGGAAAAGGCTCTTTGAAAAAAGTTGTAATATTTTGGAGAATTTTTTAATCACAATTTTATCACATAAAAATGCCAGATGACTACATATCACTGTTTTGAAAATTGAGATACCTAGCTGTGACTTCCCATGGGGAGTTAGTGTTTTGCTATCCACGATGGAAAATGACAGCTAATAGATAATTTGCCATAGCGAATCAGATATTTGTAATTTTCACGTTTTCAACTCGTTCTGAATCTCAATTAAAAACGCTCTTTGAAAAAGTTCAGAATTTTTTCCATTTTTTTTATCACTCTATCATAATTTTTAGGAATTTCTACATGATGTACCACTCAATTGACAATTTTGGATTACGAAAGATGAAAAAAATCTAGATAACATTCGAAAAATAGTACCCCGGGCCTCAAAAATTTTTTAATCAGACTTTTATCACATAAAAATGCCAGATGTCTACATACCACTGTTTTGAAAATTGAGATACCTAGCTGTCACTTCTATCATGACAAAAGCAAGTAGACAATTGCATTTTTTTATAAATGAATACAGTAATCGTTGGTGTTAAATTAGCAATTTTCTTGAAAATGGGTTCTCGTTTCTTAAACTCTCATTTCATTATTCTCTTCTATTTTTTCATGCCATTATCCTATCATCAATTGAAATGTCATCAAAATTTTGGGTGTTACTTCATTCTCAGATAACTCTACATTCAGAGTTTAACTCAGCTTCTGCCAGAAGTTGAATTTTAATTGGTGTCATTATACAGAGCTGATTAAAGTCTATATTCTTAAAAAAAAAATCATGAAATTCGATTGATCCCTTGCAAGAAAACGTCAAAAAAATGAAAAAAAGACCACATGCATAAATAAAAAAATTGAATTGCTCCTTCATTTTCTTCTAGGTACTTAATCTGCGAAAAGAAGAAGGCCGGAGTTGAGGACGTGATCAGCTACCTGTCAGAGGCGAATGAAATTCTCCTGAGGGACGACCCGAAAGACGATGTGACGGAGCTGGTGCCTCTGGAGCTGCTCCAGGACGCTGACAGATTCCACAAGTACATCTGCAGCTCCAATAATACTCTTGGGAGGAAGCAAGTGGTGGGTCTCCTGAAGATCGCTGCGTACTGCGAGGACCCGCATCTTTTCGAGACGAAGCAGGCCCAGATGAGGAAGGAGTGCCTGGAGCACTGGAACCTTCCAGATCAGAGCAGAATAGTCCCGAAGCTCTCGAAGCCAGAGGACAAACTCCGGCTGATCGTGAGGGCTTCTGTGCTGAAGCACCTGAGGGATCCACCGACTGTTCTCACAGCTGATAACGTGAAGAGCAGCATTCTGAGCCAGCCTTGTGACTGGTATGCTGTGCTGTGTGGGGCTGGGGGCGCTGGGACGAGGGAGGACAAGGGGATGACTTTCTACTTGGGAATGGGGAGGACCAATGTCTACAGGCTGGTCAAAGACACCTGGGAGTGGGCCTCCAATATTGAACTGCCTCCTGACACTTTTGTTTATGCTGAGGTCGTCGAGGAGATGAGGGGACAGTCCAAAAACATCAGGAGGACTGAAGCACTGCACATCATTGATGCTTACTTGTTGGGGGGAGAGGACGTCAGTCAGAAATCACTTCCAGAAAGGTAAATTCAATAGATAAACTAAATAATACTGTATAATTATTGACTTGAGGACATTTGTCATTACGCGAAAAAAATTTGAAAAAAATCGGGAATATTCAGCGTTGTTAAAATTACATTTTGCAGAGAATCATTATTTTTAAAACATTCGTTGATTATAAATAAAAAATTGAAATTGTTTAAATTTTCGAATACCTTATTTTTTTCGGCATGAGTTCGATTTCTGGTAAAATAGAATGCGATTTTTTATGCATCTTGTCCTGTTGAGGTATTTACTGTAGAAAAATAGAGTGGGAAAATTTTAGAAAATTCATGTCGAGGAATTTCTATAGAAAACGTAAAGAAAAATATTTTGACCATCAGTCAATTTTCAATGAATATCTCGGGATCTAAGGCAAGTAGCAAAATTTTCGTTATAACCTTTTTTGTCGAACACATCGAGACCTACAAAAAAGATAATTACGAAAATTTTGCTACCTCCCTTGGATTCGGAGATATCCCTCAAAAACTGCCCCTGAATTTTTTTTTCATTTGAAATAATTTTGTTTCCAGGTACGCCCTCATCAACAAATTCTGTCAAGCCCTCTGGAAGCCTGAGAACTCCAGCTACCACGCAGTTCGTGCCAAAGAATTATACCCCCTGGATCGAGATTTACCCCTGAAACTCCAGGTGCAACCCTGTGTATTAAAAAATAACAGGAAAACGTTTGCACATTATCCAGACGAATCCCCCTACCCGGGAAGGACGAGGAGCGACAGTCAGCCACTCTTCTTCGTACCAAATACTGTGATGTTCCTGAAGACGACGAGTGCACCTTGGTGGAGGGTAATCAGCAAAAGCACTGGTTATCACTATTATTTCAACCCTAAAACGAATGAGGGACTCTACGACAATCAAAGACCAGTCTCGGCGTGTGCCAGCTTCCTAGAGACTTTTGCCACTCGACTGCAGTGGCACTGGCTGGAGGATCAATCTCTTTCGATTGAATACTTGTACGATAACGTGAAGCAGAGATGCCCAGTTTTTCCACCGAAGAACTGATGATAATGTTTCATCTAAATCTAGGAAAAATCAATTCAATGACGTTTGCTGTTAATATTGACACTGAGAGACGTCTGGTTGAACTAAAATTTCTAGATCAGCAAAATCAGACAAAAACAAGAATATTCCTTGTTGAACTTTCGTTACGTGTGAACAAATTAGTGGGAAAACCTAGTTCTTTCTTCAAGAAATTCTGTGGAATTTGTATTGAAGTTCTGTTGTAATTAGATACTGGAAGGCAGTATACAATACTAATTAATTGGTCAAATGACAATTTGACAATTAATTAACAGAATAGACTAGATATTGATAGAATTTTCTAATGAAGAATTCCTCAGGGAAAACTTCAAGTTTTCCTATTAATTTTCTTTGTATGTATCTGACAAAATCGCAAGCATTACCAGTTTTCCTGCAGCTGGTATCGACTGACTCCTCGCTTGTTATTCTCCCCCAGATGTATATATTATACCATCGTTTTGTGGGACAGAAAAGAATATATTTGTAATATAAATCCAAGCACTTATATTTACATAATAAAGATCGTTTTATCAATTCACTTTGAGTTTATACAATTTGTCCTGAGTCAGAAGGATCAGGTGGTCGTCAGTGGCGACTGCTCCCATGATGGGGAGAGCTTCTGCCCCCAGGTCCACGATTTTTTGTTTCGCCACTTTGGCATCGAGACCTGGCTTTTCGTAGATGAAGGCGTGCCTGTTGTGCTCCACGATGGCCACGTAGTCGCCGTTCTGCGGGGATATGCAGAATTTTTTGTTGCTTTTGCTGGCCTCCACGTATCCAAATCCAGGGAAGGTGCTCTCGTGCTGGACATTCCAGTCGTTGGGGGCCTCCAGCAGACTCCAAACGCAGCCGTCGTGGTCCTGGCGTATGCAGAGACGATGGGTCTGGGTGAAGAGAAGCCGATTGTTGGTGCCGAGAATGGCTAGGTGGGTTGTGAGGTGCTCTTGGAGGTCGATCCTCTGGAGGTAGCTTTGGTCACCTTCGAGGTCGCACTCTTCCAACTGCTCGGCATTGAAGCCTATCGCTGGCTGGGCAGTCGCGCCTTCTGGCTGATCTGTGCAGAGGTGCGACAGTCTGGAACATTGATGAGGAATATTATTCGAATGGACAAAATACGTTTCTAATTTCTGTCAAGTCGACTTGGCTTTCAGCAGAGTTTTTAAGGAATATCTCCGAATCTAAGGGAGATAGTGGGATTGTCGTGGGGACCTTTTTCGTAGCCCTCAACTCACTCTACAAAAAAAGGTATAACGAAAATTTTGATATCTGCCTTAGATTCCGAAATATTCATGGAAAACTGAAAATTTCTGTAGAATTTGTTAGGATTTTCTAGCAAAGTGCCCCCCCTCCGCTCAAAACCTCACCTCGAATGTATCTCAGCAGCCAATCCTTCATTCGGCAGATGTTCCCCACCAGTGTCCCCCCTGATCAGTTCACTCCACATCTGGCCCCCCTCCTGCTTCGTAACCTCCATCCTAAAGGTGTCCTTGTCCCTGCTCCAAGTGGCAGTTCCCTCGTCAATCCTGAACTGGCACTCTCCCTGCATCAGAACCGAGTCCTCAACAGTAACAGCGAGTGACGTTGCTGTCACCTTGACATCGGCCCTGGCATCCTTATGCCTCTCAGGAATCTTCAGCCAAACAGTCAGGGAATCCGCGTCCTGGGACCAATAGTACTTCGGTATTTTCAGCTCCGACTTGTCTGACGAGGATGCATCATCTATCGGCGTCATCGAGTCAACTGTGAACTTGACAGAATCTCCACTGAGGACGTCGATAAAATCTCCAGAGGATTCTATGTGAACGTAATCAACAGCTCCATTCACCATCAACTCCTGCCTTCTGGAGAGTTCAATGGAATTCTCTGAAAAGTTCTCTTGACTCTTCACTGAGTAATTCAGCAGAATTATCTTCGATCTCTTCTTGCTGTTCTCCTCGATTGTGGAGACCATCACTAGGACGAGGGCATTGTCGTTCAGGACGTGCCTTGCAGCCAGCAAAACTCCAGAGTCAGCTTCGATTGGAATCACCTTCTGTTGGTCCTGGTTTTTCATGAGAATGTGGAGGGCACCTCCGCCGTTGGACAGGGCAATGAACCACTGGGAGGCAAATGCAATCGTGGAGTTGTAGGATTTGGTCGGGGATTTGGGGAGAGAGTGAACATGGTGAAGGGTGTTGGGGGACTCCAGGCACCATAAATTTTCGTCTTCGTCGAAGAACCAGCAGGAGTCGTCGTAGGGGCTCTGGAAGAGGTGGTTGTGGAAGGCGAAGAGACGAGCCTCCAGCAGGGAATCCTGACCCGGTGATGGCTCCAGGTGGGTCACCTCTGGAAGAAGGGCGAATGTTGGTTAATGGGGCTATTCAGGGAAATACACAAAAAAATTATTTTTGCATAATATTCGGTTACTTGAGAGAAGTATTTATGTTTTCAATTCCGTATTTTCCCCTCAATAATTAGCAAGATTAAAACATTAATCGACATTATTCCCTCTAGAAAATAAGAAATGTAGGTTGGGGTAAAACGGACACTTTTGACTTTTTTTTAAATGGTAATAAGGGATTGAAATGTTGATACAATTCAATCATTTTTTTTCAATACGAAGAACAATTCTTTCCCTTTGTGACGAGCCTAAACTAATCTCAATTGATCAATTTTTTCTGAGTTATGAATATTTTAAAAAAAGTCCGAAGTGTCCGTTTTACCCCACCCACCCCTAAACGCTATTGATACGTGTGAAGATCTTACTTTTCGATAGCTTAATCTCCTCAGTGACCGGAACAATTTGTGTCGAGAACTGGTACTTCTCAAATTTTACGTTCAGCAGTTCTTTCTTCGGTCGTAGGTCAACTATTTTCGGCATTTCGAAAAGCGATAGGACTCACAGGTTAACCCCACATATACACTTGTCAACTTTTCGAATCGCCACCGGTTATTTCGCACTAACCAAAACCCCCGTCATTATTTCCGTTAATTTCCGTCAACAAACCGTCAACTTCTCATCCCCCTCCCCTCCCCCGAGTGTCACCCCACCATGTTTTTTCTCCACAAGTGTATGTCGAACAGGTTATGGTCATGAGTAAACGCTAGAAGAACGGGCGTGTGAATCACCAAAAACATTAATCAACTCCCCTTTGTACTTGAAAAAATTCCAATTAAAAGTTGTCACCTCCCAAAATAAAGCCCCTAAAAAAATGGAGGCGATAAAAACCCAGGAGGACATCCTCGAGTGCTACCTCTACCCAAAATCCTGCTACACAACCCCCGACCTAATCGACGAATCAGTCCTCACCACGGAGATAACCAGGTTCAACCACCTAATGTCGACCTACACCAAAGACTACATGTGGCACTGTGACCCCCTGGTGTTCCATCCCCGAACGAAGACCTCCCAGATCCTGGAGAGTGTGATCCAGGGTGACCCCAGGCCCCCCGACACCAGCCTGATCCCCCACATAGTGGCCAGACTGCGGTACGACGAGGACATCGGTGACGAGTGGTTCACAGTCTTCCTGATCTTCAGATTAACGGAGTCCCTGGAGGGGCTGATAGCCCGCCTGGTGGACTCTGACGGTGAATTCCTGCTGATCGAGGGTGCTGACGACCTGCCGAAGTGGGCGGAGCCTGAGACCTGTCAGGATCGCGTTTACGTGGCGAATGGGGCTGTCCACGTGGTGAAGGACGAGAAGCTGGTGCTGGAGAGGCTGAGGAGCCTGGCAAGGAGCCCTGAGAGGCACTTGCTGCCTGAGGCTGCGCAGATGGCCATCAGAAAGCGAATCAGTGTTTATCCGGAGGAGGTTGGCAGGAGGAGGCACAAGGCCAGGGCTTTTCTCCCTGAGAAAGCAGCCTCGATTCTCGCTCAGGAGCCTGGACTCATTGCTTTTGCCATTCGCACCATTGTGCATTCAGACCCCGTCGAGAGGAGGGTCTGCAGGGCCATGAGGTACTTCCCACCTGAGCAGAGGACGATGGTCAACCTGGGGATGACCAGGTGTCTGTATGCCATGGCCACCCACTGTCGGTACACTGGGGACCCCAGGACTGGCTGGAACTTTCCTCCGACTAATAGCCCCAAGTACAGTGCACATCTGCTGGGGATCAAGGTCGCCTGTGGCCTCGAGATTCTTGTCGCCAGGGCCAACGAGAGGCGGAGGAAGAGGGAGGGCGCTGGCGGGGCTGGCGACGACGACAAGTGGGGGGCCTATCTCAGGAGGCTCGAGGACTGCGGCTACTTCAGGGGGTGTCTGCAGGGGAGCCAGGAGAGGGACAGGCTCGAGAGAGTCGCCAGGGAGTTCCTCGTGGAGAGACCTCTCGGCTTGCCCACCCAGCACAAGGATGATGATGCTGCTGACAGGATTCTAGCGGCTTGGAAGAGCCTCAAGACTGAGGACTTCGAAATGCTTGGTAATTTCAGAAATTTAATAGACTCAATTAATAGATTTAATCTGGGCGCGCGATTATCTTTCTGTGGTGAAAATGAAGACTTGAATTTATTTAACTTTGTGTACTCATAGGTGTTTTATTAATATTGGTAATGACTGGAAGAGATTAAGAGAATGAAGAGAGAAACTTCAATGAATAATTTATATTCTTCGGTTGATTCTTCTTTTTTTTTACTTTTTAAAGTCATCTGATTGAAGTTTGTAATTGTTGAAAAAGGAGGGGAGGGTTATGGATTGATTTTCTAGAAAACTGAAAAAATTTCTTGAATTCTTCGGAAAATTTCAGTTTTTCAGGTAACCGTAGATCATAGATTTTTATCGAATTAGAGTTTAGAATTTATGTATGAAAATCTGAGAAGCAAGAATTGATCATTTTGGCGGGTGATAAATATGAAAAAATTAAAATTTAGGAAGTGAAGAATAATTTGTGAGTTAAAAAAATTTAGAAATACAGTTTTTTTTCTCATGATCAACAATTAGGCAATTTAGATATGTTTTGATATAAAGATCAACTCACACATGAAAAAATGAAAAATATGACGCAGAAAAATTTTTTGGCATTTGAAGAGTTTGAAAATACAGAGGAATTTTCTGAAAATATCTATTGAAGGGTTATTAAGATATTGTTTTTTTTTGTACAAGTTCTCTATTCAAAATATTGCAACTAGGATTTTTCAATAGATATTGTTCTATAGAAAAAAGTCTATAGATGACGATTTTTTTACAATCCTTATTCTATTGGGATTTTACCTATAAGAATTGTTGGGTATGAATTTTATGAGTTTTATTCTTACATTTTATCAAGAGAAACAAATGAAAATCGAATGTAAAAAACATTGGAAATTTATGCCCGACAGTAGAAATATAAAAATCTATTGGTTTTTTTCTCTTAATTATCCCTTTAAAAAATGATAAGTCAAATCAAATTCTATTAGAATTCACTCACAACTCCAATAGAATTTCCCAGATCAAGTGCCAGATTTCCCTTAATTATCCCTTTAAAAAATGATAAGTCAAATAAAATTCTATTAGAATTCACTCACAACTCCAATAGAATTTCCCGGATCAGGTGCCAGATTTTTCTGTAAGAATTCTTCAACATTAATTAGTAATTTTTCTTGAGAATTTTAATAAAATAATTTGTTCACAGCTCAGGATGAGGCGTCATTGAGTCCTCCCGACGATGACAGCTGGCTGAATGTCGATGCGCAACAACTAGAGTCCATGCTGAATCAGCACTGGGGACTGGCGGAGAAGAAGAGTCAAGAACCCACGAGTATCAAAGAGAAGATCAAGGCGTTCTTGAATCAGACTAGTGATATCGAGGGAATAGAGTTCACTGGGTAAATTCAGCCACTTAATTCCATTTAAAAAAATATCCCATTTTATTCAAAATTGAGTTATTAACATTCAAAAAAAAGTCAGAAGCGCTCATTTTCTTCTCCATGTTCTTTAAAAAATTCATCATATATAATTCATTATAATTCATCAATAATTCATCATATAAGTCATCACATACCAATCATTGATATTTCAATACAGCTTGAAATTGAAAATCAGATTCTTCAATCAAATTTTCGATAGATTGAGAGGTCGAAACAACAGTTGCCCTGAGTTTCACAATTTTCCGTCATTTCCCCTGTCAAGTAAATCTGAAATTTAGAATTTTATTGAGTATTCAAGAAATTCCCTAATTTTTAAATAATATCTACGGAAATTCCATTGAAATGCGTCATTATAAATTTGAATATTTCGTACTTGAAAATTAAAGAGAAATTTTCTCCAACAATGATGTACTTTTTTAATCTTGAATTATCACGTAACATTCATTTCTTTATTAAAAAAAATCAAACAGAAAACTTGGAAAATTTGAGCCCAGGAAATTCTACAGAAAATATCTCAACAGAATAAATTGTGCATACAAAAAATCGAATTCTATTGACTTTTTCTACATAAAAGAATTGAATTAGATAGAATTTCTATCGATCATTTCACTAGAATCGGCCAAAAACTAATGGAAAGTTCAATAGAATTGTGTAACGAATTCGCTAGGTTCTTCTATTAAATTTTTTCGTGCTGTCCTGACATTGACGTGATGTGGCTGGATCTTCCGAGCGTCACAACAGATAATTTACTTCTCTTTTTCGTAATTTCCAGAGAAGGAGCCCGAGATGACGATCCTCGACACGACTCTGAAGAGGGAGGACGAATAGAATTCGACGCTGACGTCTACGACAGCACCCTCCGTGACATTTTGGACCTAGTGGTCCCAGGTGGTGACGGAGAGTTCGATGGCAGCTCCGAGGGATCTCTCGCTGGAGATGACGACGAGAGGGCAGGGGAAATGGACAAATACATGAGATTACTGGACTCCCAGCTGGAGTTGCAGCTCAAGAAAGACGACACGAGTTTATCTAGTAGATTTAAGGACTCGACAGAGTCCAATCTCGTGGAGAGCATGGAGGAGGAAGCTGGTGGGGCTGGACCTGCTGGCAATATCATTGGTGGGCCTGTTCGACGTCTCATGCATCTTCATCTTCAATCACCAACTGCTGTTCCCCCTGATCTCCAGAGTTAATACCGATGGGTGGGGGGGTTATGCGGCTCATTCGGGGTAGTTTATGTACACAATTTCTTCATCCAGCCATGCTAAGCCTAGATTCTATGTCCAACATCCTATTAATAAAGTCGTGGGCGAAAAAATTTTACAGAAAAATCTGGCGAATTTTATGGAAATTCTGGGGGAATTCCATTCAATTTTCTATTCGTTTTTAGACGATTCTATTGGAAATTTTTGCTGCTCATCTGCGCGTTTTTTCAGTGGTTCTAGGGGAATATATTTTATGGAAAAAATGGATAAAAATCTGGAGAATAATCAATAGGATTCTATTTTTTATAGGACTTATTTAATTGAGATATTTTGGACGGACATCCGTTGGCTTCAATTTTAGAAGGTTTTTTGTTTGATTTTTTCAATAAAAAGAGATAAAAAATGAAGTGGAAAAAACTTGAAAAATTCATTTTGAGGAATTCCTGTAGAAAATTTCTCAATAGAAATAGTTTTACAGAAAGACTAAATTCTACTGATTCTTTTCTATAGAATAGTTTCTATCAAACACTTTCTATTAAAAGAATCGACCAAGAACTAATAGAACTTTTCAACGAAAATTCAATAAAAATCCAATTGACTTTTCCATCGAATTCACTAGATTTTTCTATAAAATTTCTTCGTGCCTATACGAATTGGTTTGGAGGAGAAACTAATTCGAAATATCAGTGAATTTAAAATAGCTACGACCTGCCTACTTCTAGGGATACTTTTTTATTTTATAATTAAGTACATTTGGTGGAAGATACTCACGTGTGAGAAAATTCAATGAAAAAAACCCTGGGGATTTGAATAAAAATGTTCAATAGAAGAAATATCTAGAATGTTTGTGAAATTTCTGCGATAATTTTCTCTTGAATTTTTTTCAATGGAAAATTACTTGTCAGTAGACTGTTATAGAAATTAATTTATGAAGACAACAACATAAATCGACTGTAAAATTCACTCATTCAGCGTATTAAGTCTCAATTTCCAATGGACTTTAAAGAAATATTTTTCACGTTTTCCAAATTTCTGTTTTTCCTCATTATTTATATATTTTTTATTTAAAAATTTAAAAAATTCTTCTGTTGAATTTTCTCATACATACTCCAAGGAGAAATCAATCACTCATTAATTATAATGCGAAAAAAACCAATAATTATTAAGAAAATTGATTTTTTTAATTTTATACGCACAACAACGATATTATGATTTTTGTAATCTATATTATAAAACATTCATGCATTTATGTATTCATCAACATAAATGGACTGTAAAATTCATGTCTCAAAATTATATTCCGCGCAAAGGATTTTACCAGCTTATGAAGTCTCAATTTCCAGTCGACTTTGCAGAAATATTTTCCATATTTCCAAAATTTCATTTTTTTTTCATTTATTTCTTTTCCAATGCAAAAAAAAATACTTCTGTTGAATTTTCTCATCCACACTCCCAGGAGAAATCAATCACTCATTAATTATAATGCGAAAAAAAAGAATAATTATTAAGAAAATTGATTTTTTAAATTTTATACGCACAATAACGATATTATGATTTTTATAATCTGTATATTTGCATTCATCAACATAACTCAGCTGTAAAATTCATTTCTCAACATTACATCCCACACAGTGAATTTTATTACGAAATAATAAATGGTTCGCTTAAGCTTACCTCATAAAAACTCAAGTGACAATGATTCAGGAAGTGTTAAACTCGCATTTGACTTAAAAAGGGAATAGAAAATATCACTATGACACTGATTGGTTATTTGAATGCACGTTTGAACCACTTTGGTGCATAACTCGTTACACGATTTGCATTAGCAACACTGCCACTGCTTCCAGGGCTTGGATCACTCACGTCTTCGCCTGAATTACTGTGACCAATGTTAGCGTTTGAGTCTTGGAGTGTTTGACTCTCACTTCGAGTCGTCGTTATCCTGAAAAAATGATAACGCTGAATAAATGAGAATATGAGGTTGAAGGTGGGGGATTTTTAATGCTTTTTTACCTGGATTTTATGGCTTGAACACTGGCGATTTTTGGATCCACCAATTTGCTCCTCAGCTCTGGCTTGAGGTCAGATACTCCTGAGTAGTAAATTATGGCTGACGGCACCAGACCCTCGTCGATCAGACGATTCGATGGGGATAGGTTCTTTCTTGGAGGTGTTACGTCTGATAAATTTTCGAGGGAAATCAATTTGTGATTAACAACAGAATGGATTTTTCAAAGATATTCGATAGAAAAAAGGCAGTCGATTTTTTTTTACATGAATAATTCTCTTGAGATTTTTTCTACAGAAATTACTGGGTTTAAATTCCGTAACTTTCCGCTGTATTTTTTTCTCTCATCACATAACACAGGCTTCTACGCTTGGACATGAATTTTCCACTTTTTGTGAATTTTATTTTATAAGAATTAAAAAAAAAAGAAAATGTAGCAGGAAAATCATGAACAATTTATGCCCATGAATAGAAAAATCAAGATCTAGTGACTTTTTTCTCTGAAAAAATGACATGAAGTTGCGTAATTTTCAATAAACTAATAAAATTTTAACAAAACACCAATAGAATGTATTAAAGAAAGCGCAAATTTTTCATAATTTCATAATTTTTCAAAAACTATGGACATTTTTTTTTATTTTCTAATTAAAAAGAAGATCCCATTTGATTAAATACCACTTATAATTTTTGATTGTTGTGCAGAGAAGTTAACATCATCAAAAAATTCAATATTGAACAAAAATGAAAATGTCAATAAAAAAAATTATTTAGAAAAAAGGAAAAAATTGTCTTAGTTTTAGAAAAAAAAATGATCATTTTGGTACTCACAAAGATCAAAATCCTTCTCCGAATTTTCCAAATATTCTTTGATGAAATCCTTAATATGCTGAACAGTCTCAACAGGCCCGAAGATGCCCTGGAGAACCATTTGTCCAGGGAACTGTATCCTAATTATCGTTTTTCTGTACTTGTGGAGTTTATTAAGTGTCGACTGCGTGCGTTCGAGTTCACGTTGGGCATTTGTGAGGAGTGGATTCTCCTCGAAAGCCTCCCTCTGACGTTTGGCATCACGCAGGAGGGCTTTCGCATCGTCCACTGTGAGATCGTAGAAATTGTCTGGGAGATTCTCACGAGGAATTGCCTGAGCTTCTGCTTGATTGAAAATTAATGCATTTCTGTCTCCCAGCTGGAAAAATTGAGGAAGTCATGTAAAAATTCTCTAAATTTCAGGTATAAAAAATCGTAGAAAGAATTTCTAGCACTTATGCTAACAAATTCTATGGGAAATACTACATTTTTATAATTGGAAATATAAAGAAAAAAAAATCTGATGAGGAAAAATACTAAAAATTTCGATATAATTTTTTCTATTGCAATTCTCTCAAGAAATTTTTCATTGCGAATTCTTCAACTTTTTTCTCATTGTGTTGTATTATTCATTTAAAGTCAAAAACCCCAAGAGAATTATCTTTTAAGTGTTTCCCAATAGATTGAAATTTATAGAGTATAGTCTGGAGTCATTAACTTTGAATGAACTCCTCCACTTATTGTTTTACTTAACAATTTCCATTGAAAAATGCATTTTAAAATGAAAATCATGAAGAAATTGACATGAAAATTATTTCGACAATTTCCATCTCAATTTTCCAAGTTTTTCATCCACTGTTTTACTTCATTTGACATAAAAACACCGAAGAGAACTTGAAAATTTTTCCAGTAGGTTTCTCCCCAAGTTTTGTAGAAAATAGTCTAAATCTACATAGAGTAACGGTTTTGGTAATCTGTAGGTTGTGGGTTCAAATCCCCTCTTGGCATTGCTCTTGGTTTGATATTTGCTTCTTCCAATGAAATATTGAAATGACAGTCTGGATCTACTGCTCTCAGATAAATATTGCCTGGCTATTTTCTCCTCTAAAAATCAATTAAAAAAAAAAACGGCAATAAGACCAACAGCAACAATTACCTATCATGTTCCCTTCAATTTTTTCATGCACATAAAACTTTCCTATCAAAAACATCTTTAGTTTGGTCATTACATATTCGATGGATTCAGTGATTTCCTCTGCGATTTCGAGTCCTTCATCCGCCACTGGTGATATCTCCTGACTCCCCTCTTCATTTTCAGTCGGTGGCTCAGGCTCTGGCTCCACCTGCGCCCTATTCCCATGCCCAAGAACGTTGCCACCACCCACGAATCGCTTCCCAGATCCCCGAGAATTCTTATTCTGCGCAGATTTCTCATTCCTCAACATCGCGATGGGATCAAACGCCTTCTTCACTTGATTCTTGACGTTGGAGACAACATTGCTAGCAGCATTGCTCGCCTGCTGCAGAGCTGTATTACTGTTGTTGCCCTTCCTCTGTGGTTTATCGTTTGTTTTATTGGGCTTTGATGCCAGCTGACCAGCAACATGCGCTTGTGTTGTTAATTTATCTAGATCACGGTGGAGGAGTCTCAACATGGCACGTCCGTCGCTCAGACCGAGAGACTGGAGAGATGTTGTGCTCAAATTTTCAGCTCCATGAATCTGAATAAAGTCATCAATGAATGATGGTATTCCGTATTTTTCAAATTATTTTTACTGAAATGTTTTGCTTCAAATATTTGATTTTTAAATTTTCCTTAAGGCTCGGGTGCACTATCTTTCGAATGTCATCTGGATTTTTTTTATCTTTCGTAATCCAAAATTGTCAATTGATTGGTACATCATGTAGAAATTACCAAAAATTATGATAGAGTGATAAAAAAAATAGAAAAAATTCTGAACTTTTTCAAAGAGCGTTTTTAATTGAGATTCAGAATAAGTTGAAAAAAATGGAAATTATGAATATCTGATTTGCTGTGGCAAATTATCTATTAGCTCTCATTTTCCATGGTGGATAATAAAACACTAACTCCTCATGGGAAGTCACAGCTAGGTATCTCCTCAATTTTCAAAACAGTGGCATGTAGCCATCTGCCATTTTTATGTGATAAAAGTGTGATTAAAAAATTCTTCAAAATATGACAACTCTTTTCAAAGAGCCTTTTCCGTAATAAATATCTCTGTACAGTGTGGGAAAAGATTTACGAAATATAAATTAAAATTACTGAATATAAATGAAAAATGCTCTTCGAAAAAAAAAGAATTTCTTCTACTTTTTTTTCATTATTCATTAATAATTTTTCAAAACTTCTGCATGCTGCAGGACTCAATTGACAATTTCAGATAACGAAAGATGAAAAAAAAATCGAGATAACGTTCGAAAGATAGTACACCCGGGCCTCAATTTCGAGTACAAAATTTTTATCACCAGAAAATCAATTTGGATTTTTAAAATATTGAGAAATAATTCCCTCACCTCCTGATGCATATAAGTGATGACCATGTTCCCAGCCTCCTCCCCAGGACACAGACTCCTGACAATCTGAATCAACGTCGTCTCCGAGGAAAACTCCCCCATGACCCTCTGCCCATTCTCCAGTTGGACCCCAATGGTGACACTGGACGATTCCCTCTCCTTGGACCTCTGCACCATCTCCAACTGCGCATTATTCGGCAGTCCAGTAAACCGAAAGATCGAGCTGGCCTCGAGAGTCTGACTGAAGTGCCTGAATAACCCCAAAAAAATAAATCCCAACTGTCAATTAATCCCCACGAATCACTCCCCAATCTTCACAGTAACGTACTTGAGGTCCCATTTTTTGGAGCTGAAGCCCTGTTTCTGGCACACTTCCTCGAGGACCTAGTGCCACAGAAAAAGCTCAATCATCCTAATGGAAAGGGTAAAAAATTCGCGCGACAACCCCCGAATGGAGGAGCCCTCAAGAATTATGAGGAATCCGTGGAAAAGTTTGTGACAGCAATCTTACCTGCAATATCGTCGTGTTTGGGGTGATCTTGACATTTTGACGTCGACCGTTGGGTGCGAAAACGGTAACACTCTTGTTTGCCGCCATGACGTGCCTTCAACTGAACGTTTATGACCGCATGACACTAACGCGTGCGTGTGGAGCCAGCGATAATCGCTGGAACGTACATGCGACGGTGAACAGCTGTTCTGGTTTAAAGGGTTTAAATACTCCCGAAGGGAGCTCTTTTTTGTTTTAAGAATATTCAAGTAACCATTTTTAATTATGAAAGAAAAATTATGAACTAATTAAATTATATTACATTTTGCACTGAATTATTTTTTTAAACATTCGTTATTTATTAATAAATAATTAAAATTGTTTAAATTTTTGGAAACCTCATTTTTTAAGGTATGACGTCGATTTCTGGTAAAATTGGGAATATGAATAAATTTCTTACGGTTCCGAACAAATTATTTTTACGGTGCACTGAAAACTCAATGACCCGAAATTGAAAGAATAATTAATCGAGATCAATTTTCACATTTAACGAACGCTTACAAATTATTATTATCCCCAATAAACGAATGAACTATTCATTCGTTTATTGTATATAAATATATAATATATATTTCACATGTATATATATCATCGGTGAAATTAAGATGTTCTACACCTTTTCGGTCAAAATTCACGTTTTATCAATTATTCTCGCGAATTGTCGGTCGGATTGACGCGAAAAAATATAACGTTTCTGTATTTTGTCATTATTTAATTACTCGCGAAGTTGCAAGGTGGTGCGATCATTTTGTGCATTTTTGCTAAACGTTTAAAAGGAATCCCAAAACTGTAGAAAAAACGCAGGAAAATGATCCCACCACCATGACACTGCGTGAGCCATTAAATAATGACAGAACACAAGAACGTTATATTTTTTTCCGTCAATCCGATCGACAATTCGCCAGAAAAAGGAAAAAAAACGTGAATTTCAGCCAAAAAGGTGTCGAACATCCTTAATAAATTCTGTCCTTTTATGGAGACCGATTATTTAAAAATGAAATTTAATGAATTCCATTTCTTCATTTCAACAAATGAATAGATCAGATACATAGATATTATTTAGAGAAAATTCTCAATAAATAGTGCCACACAACTCGCCGCCCTGAAATTTCCCTCATTCAAATATCACGTGGGACTGTTCCGCAGTCCTCTTCAGGGGCCTAACCGAACTGCTAAAGAAGAGAGAAGCCCTTACGGCACTTGCCTCCACGAGACCGAGAGACCAAGTTACCTAGGAAATAGAATAAGAAGAACATGGTATACACGACGATAAACAGCTGTTTCTGGTCTGTCTCTCTTGCAGAGAAAAATTCTACGTGAGTTTTTGCAATCATCAATTTCCTCCCCCCCTAATTCTACCATCCGCACAATCATTTATTACTTCCAGTCGTCTCGAGACCGGGAAAATTGACTAGAATCGCCGTCAATGCATCTCTCAAACTCCCAGAAACAAAAGAAACACCGAGGAATTGAAAAATGTCACAAACATGGTATCCAAGCACTCACTCCCGAGGACTATTGATATTGACTTTTGACGTTGGCTTGTGTAGTTACGGCTGATCATTAAAAATAATAATAATGCTATGGCTGATAATACTGTAGCTGTGGTGGATGCCGAGAAGGAGCTGCTTCTCGATAATAATTTGTGGAATGAGCCGAGAAAATGGAAATTTGAGGATTTTCTCGGTGGAATGAGTGTCACGTGTGACAGACACAGCGTCGTTGGGGGATCTGGACATGAGTATGAGCGACAGGTGAATGATGGGGTGGACAATCGGAGCAGTGGTGACTATTCCTACAATTGCAAGAAACCTGTTACTGTGCCTCTGTGCCTCCTTGGGGATGTGCAGCTCAGGTTTTTGTGCCCTGATGATCTGGAGGAGGTCAGGGCGCTCTGCCAGGATTGGTTTCCTATAGGTAAACATTTATACTGCAGGTGTCTTATTTATTTATTTTATTTGTTGGGAGGCAGACGCCAACACAGGGTGAGGTAAAGTGAATCTTGTTGAGTCGTCGATATCTGCTGGGTAAATGACACGATTTTTGTCTGCCTTGAATTTCGAGACATTCATTAACAAATAACCGATATTCAAAATCGAACTAAATTATTTTACACTGAGAAAAAAAATTATTTTTGCCAAATATCCATTTACTTGAGAGAAGTATTTATTTTGTCAATTCCATATTTCCCCTGCCGAGTCATTCCCGGTCAATTCTCATTAAGCTTCAATTATGACAATTATATTGCTCTAGAAGACGATCATGTTAGCTGTGATCTTGAGTGAGCTCCCTCAATAATTATCAACATTGAAGAATTAATCAAAATTCTTTCCCCTAGAAAATGAGAAATTTAGGAAAAATGAATAATTATTGGAGTTCATCGAAGGTCATGTACAGCATAGTCTTCCTCTAGAGCAACATGATTGTCATAATTGAAACCTAATCAGGCTTGTCTGGGAATGACCCGGATAGAAAAAAATTCAACTTTTGAAAAAGTAAATACTTCTCTCAAGTAAATAGACATTTGGCAAAAATATATTTTTTTCTCAGTGTACCGCTTCGCTTGTAAATTGTCAATACGAAAACAATGAATAAACTTTACTCAATTTTTGTCAATTCAGATTATCCTTACTCCTGGGACGAAGATATAAATATCCATTTACTTGAGAGAAGTATTTATTTTGTCAATTCCATATTTCCCCTGCCGAGTCATTCCCGGTCAATTCTCATCAGGCTTCAATTGTGACAATTATATTGCTCTAGAAGACGATCATGTTAGCTGTGATCTTGAGTGAGCCCTCAATAATTATCAACATTGAAGAATTAATCAAAATTCTTTCCCCTAGAAAATGAGAAATTTAGGAAAAATGAATAATTATTGGAGTTCATCGAAGGTCATGTACAGCATAGTCTTCCTCTAGAGCAACATGATTGTCATAATTGAAACCTAATCAGGCTTGTCTGGGAATGACCCGGATAGAAAAAAATTCAACTTTTGAAAAAGTAAATACTTCTCTCAAGTAAATAGACATTTGGCAAAAATATATTTTTTTCTCAGTGTACCGCTTCGCTTGTAAATTGTCAATACGAGAACAATTAATCAACTCTACTCAATTTTTGTCAATTCAGATTATCCTTACTCCTGGTACGAAGATATAACAAGTTCGTCCCGTTTCTACGCCCTAGCCGCCGTATTCGGTGGTGTGATAATAGGGCTCATCGTAGCCGAGATAAAGCCACACGCAACACTCAACAAAGAGGACCAAGGAATACTCTGTTCAAGTTTAGGAAAGGACTCCCTCGTCGGTTACATCCTCAGTCTCGGTGTTCGTCGTGCCTACCGGAGGAACGGAATAGCCTCCCTGTTGCTCGAGCAACTGCTGGCTCACGTGACAGCACCAGAACGATCAACAGTGAAGGCTGTTTTTCTCCACGTCCTCTCCAGCAATGCTCCAGCGATACTATTCTACCAAAGATGTCATTTTCGACTGCACAGTTTTTTACCATACTATTACTCAATTCGTGGCAAATGCAAGGACGGTTTCACATATGTTCTTTATGTTAACGGTGGGCATGCACCCTGGGGCATTTGGGACTGGATGAGGCACATAGCTGGGGCCATGGCCAGCCTTGGGCCCTGCAGGGTACCCCAGTGGATCTGGCAACGACTGCTCTGGGCTGCCACTCTACTCTCTTACCACAGATGATATTTTACATATCTTTTTCATTTGTCATTTTCACTTATTTATCCGTGACGACTTCCATCATTTTTCGTGTTTCGACGCCTCTTCACCGAGAATTCGAATTATTTATTCGAATATTTAGTGTAATACGAAATTTTTCAAAGATTCCAGGTCTAAATATCCGGTAAAAAACGCCCAAAATAATATCCAATGGAAAAATGTCCGAAAGAAAAATATCCAAAAATGAAATATCCCAATACCAATAAATTCAATAAACAAGAATCCATTGAACAAGATTATGTTTATAGACCTTTTCATTCTGAGAGTCACTAGATTTGCGGACACTTTTTTCCCATGTTAATTCCCCTAGGATTTGCGGACACTTTATCGAATTTACATATAAATCATGGTTTTTGAGCGCTCAAGTGTATATCATTGTAAAGTTCAATATTTATCAGAATTTTCCATGGTTTTTTCGGAGATTTTTTCGTTGAATGAACGAAATAAATATTTCCCCTAGATTTCCAGAATGAAAAGGTCTATTGAACGAAAATTTAGACAGTTACTCAGTGAGAAATGTTTTTGAGATAATTGAGTATATCATCTTCAGAGTAATCCAAAACAACATCAAACAGTCGCGCTCGTTTTTGGGGGAACCGAATACAAAAATCCTTTGTTAATGAACAGGGGCTTGCCCTTTTGACTCAACAAATCTCAGTACCATGTTGATGACTAAGCTGTCGACAGAGCCCTGAACATTCGGAGATTTCAAATAATAGTAAATGAGAGATATCGGCGGTTTTGCCAAATAAATTGAGATTTCATGGAAATGAGTGCGATTGATTTCAACTCAACTTTGGGAAATTGCAAACTGGGGTCTAATTGCATTGGAGTATTTTGGGACATATTTGCCATCGAATTTTTTTGCTATTGGATATTTTTAACCGGATATTTAAGCCGGATACCTTTTTCAAAGGCCACACTGTTCAGGGATATTCAATCGATTGTTGGTCTCGATACTTGCGACAGGATTCGTTGTACGTCTATTCGATAATGTTTACTACTTTATTACGAATAGAGGATTCGATATTATGTTGATGTATATATTTAGTAGAGAAATATTGTTTTTAATGAAATAAAAAAATTTAGTAACGTTGTAAATTTGCTTTGAATTTTCGTGGTTGGTGGAAAGTCGGGGCCCAATTGTTTCATTTTCCTGGTATCGACGAGAGCCATGTTGACATGCAGGGAGCGATTTTGCTCGTTTTATGTCGACATAAAATCGTAAATTTCAACCAGTGACAGTCCTGGATTCGGAATACTCAACTAGGATTGGTTGAAATTTATGATTTTATGTCGACATAAAACGAATATTAGGAGCGATTTTTCTCGTTTTATGTCGACATAAAATCGGAATTTTCAACCAGTGACAGTCCTGGATTCGGAATACTCAACTAGGATTGGTTGATATTTACGATTTTATGTCGACATAGAACGAGGAATATTAGGAGCGATTTTGCTCGTTTTATATCGACATAAAATCGTAAATTTCAACCAGTGACAGTCCTGGATTCGGAATACTCAACTAGGATTGGTTGATATTTATGATTTTATGTCGACATAAAACGAATATTAGGAGCGATTTTGCTCGTTTTATATCGACATAAAATCGTAAATTTCAACCAGTGACAGTCCTGGATTCGGAATACTCAACTAGGATTGGTTGATATTTATGATTTTATGTCGACATAAAACGAATATTAGGAGCGATTTTTCTCGTTTTATGTCGACATAAAATCGGAATTTTCAACCAGTGACAGTCCTGGATTCGGAATACTCAACTAGGATTGGTTGATATTTATGATTTTATGTCGACATAAAACGAGGAATATTAGGAGCATCCAGGGGAGCGATTTTGCTCGTTTTATGTCGACATAAAATCGTAAATTTCAACCAGTGACAGTCCTGGATTCGGAATACTCAACTAGGATTGGTTGATATTTATGATTTTATGTCGACATAAAACGAGGAATATTAGGAGCATCCAGGGGAGCGATTTTGCTCGTTTTATGTCGACATAAAATCGTAAATTTCAAGCAATGACAGTCCTGAATGCGGAATACTCAACTAGGATTGGTTGATATTTACGATTTTATGTCGACATAGAACGAGGAACATTAGGAGCATCCAGGGGAGCGATTTTGCTCGTTTTATGTCGACATAAAATCGTAAATTTCAACCAGTAACAGTCCTGGATTCGGAATACTCAACTAGGATTGGTTGATATTTATGATTTTATGTCGACATAAAACGAGGAATATTAGGAGCATCCAGGGGAGCGATTTTGCTCGTTTTATGTCGACATAAAATCGTAAATTTCAACCAGTGACAGTCCTGGATTCGGAATACTCAACTAGGATTGGTTGATATTTATGATTTTATGTCGACATAAAACGAATATTAGGAGCGATTTTGCTCGTTTTATGTCGACATAAAATCGTAAATTTCAACCAATGACAGTCCTGAATTTGGAATACTCAACTAGGATTGGTTGAAATTTATGATTTTATGTCGAGAAAAAAGGAGCAAAAACGAGTGTCACCATTCGGTCAACACCATAGCTGACCGTCAATTGACGGTCAGGAACTCTCCCTGACTCTGCTGTGAGAGCCAGTGCCCAGAGGGGGAAAAGATGGCGGCAGGAAAGAATCACATTGAAGGCCGGTCCTCCACTTGTCTCCGAAAATACCGTATATTTGTTATTTTTGTTGGAACAATACTCTGTGTGCAAGTGTACCTAGCATACTCATTCCTCAGACTGGAGAATCAGACCGGAGAGTCATCGCCAGGATCCTCCAGAGAGGTACACCAATTTCTGTTTATCGAGTGTTAACCTCGAACATGCACGTATGAAAAAATTCAGTAGATAAACCTAGCACTTTTTTTTCAAGGGATTCTATTGAATTTCTATTGAAGTTCTATAAGAATTCTATTGGGGTTCTATTAAAATTTTATTAAAAAATTCTATTGTCCAAATTTACCATGACATTTTGTTGAAATATATTTAAAGTCAAAATTCAAAAGATTTTTACATTTCTATAAAATTTCTCCGGCATAAATTCTCCAAATTTTTCCTCCTGTATTTTTTTTGTTAGTAAAAACTATAAAAACTGGGGTAAAAACGCACAAAATTCGTGCCCAAGAATTCTTACAGAAAAAACCCCCAAAGGATAAAATATATTCAAAAAATCAACATTTACGAAATTACACGACTTTACCGTAACATTTTGTTAACAAATATTTTATTTTAAAAAATTCAAAAGATTGTTCATTTTCCTATAGAAATTCTTGGGTCTAAATTCTCTACCTTTTCTATAGGAGAGAAAAGTATTTTTCATCTTTTTCTCATAATAAACGTATAAACCATGAACTAATGAACCTAATTCGTAAAATTCATATAGGATTCTCTAAAAAAATCTATAAATTCAATAAAATTACATCGAAGCTTTTCCATTGTACTTTTTCTCGCGATAAAAATGAAGAAAAAACTTGGGAAACCGGTGCCAACGTCTACATCAACATCTACAGATTTTTTCTATATTGGGAATTGCAAAAATCGACGGTGGAGTTGCATAATTTTCAACGGAATTAACGCAACAAAAGCATAACATTGTTCACCAGAATTCCTACAGAATTTTAACAAAAATATTACAGACTTCCCCTGGAAATTCAATAGAATTTCTCAAAGAAAGCGCAAGTTTTTTCCAATAAAATTGTTTCCTACGTCTAACAACGCACCAATCAACGATCCTAACAAAAAAATTTGAATTGAGATCGACACAGGAAAATCGGAGAAGAATGAGGGACTGCCAAAGGGCTCGCGCCAGCTCAAACTCCCACCAGACAAGACCATTAACACGCTTAAATCGTCATCGCAGATTCATTCCAATCGCACAATTGTTAAATTGGATCGTGAATCGCTCAACTTCATGCCAATTTGTGATGTCAATGGACGGGAGGCGATCAGTGCTGTCAGCAGGGCCCATTCGCAATTATGTAAAGAGACTATTGTGAATGTTACTTGCATGAGCCAAATGGGAATGCTGTATCCGGAACGACTGCACTCGTTCTGCCCGCACTCAACGGGCTTCAGTGACATGCCTGTCAACCTGGGGTGCTTCAAGGATGACAAGACCCAGAGACTTCTCTCCGGGTTTTATACCATTCTGAAGGGGGCGAATTCTGCTCAACAGTGCGCATTCTTGTGCCTCCAGTCTGGGTATCCTTATGCTGGCACTGAATACTCGTAAGCAATTCAGTCAATTGTCCACATTAATCCAATTTTCATTTATTTGGATTCTATTGGAAAATTTCAGCTTATATTTTTCAATAGGGGAGGTTGGGGTAAAACGGACACGTTTGGCTTTTTTTAAAATGTTAATGAGGGGTTGAAATGTTGATAAAATTTAATAATTTTTTCTTCAATGCAAAGAACAATTCTTTCCCTTTGTGACGAACCTACACTGAGCTCAATTGATCAATTTGTTTCGCAGTTATGAATAATTTAAAAACAATCCAATGGTATTCCTTATTTAATTCTCTAGAAAATGCTTCAGGGTTTCTATTGGGTATTCTATTAGGTTTTGGCCGATTCTGTTGAAAAATTCTGCCGCTCATCTGCGCGTTTTTTTCAGTAGAAATTTTCAACAGAAAAAATGTTTCATAGAAAAAATCAATAGAGATGTTTTCTGTAGAAATTCCTCTTCTCAATTTTTCTAAGCTTTTTGTATGATTCTTGTAATGAAAACAGAAGAAACATGAAGTGAGAAAACCATAGAAAATTCATGTCGAGGAATTCCTATTGAAAATGTCTCAATAGAAAAAATTGTAAAACTAAACTAAAAATTCGAAAATGGTGATCTTCCTCCACGATAATTGAGTCGTATGTTTATTTTAAAATAAATAGAATAGAATGTTTCTGCGGGATTGAGGAGCCTCTCCAAACAAAAAGATTGCCAGACTCCAGTTGCAACATGAAATGCCCCGGGGACCTCAAACAATCCTGTGGAGGATATTTAACGATCAACGTCTTCAAAACAGGAATAAAGAGTAGATACCTTCGTTAACATAATTTTTCACACCTACGATGCTAATTGATAATTCTACACTTCAATATTTTTTCCAGAATTCAAAGCTCAAGAGGCGCGAAACAGTAGCGTGAAGACTGCCCAGGAGAAACCGATAAGGATAGCTTTCCTGCTGACGGTTAATGGTCGAGCCAGTAGACAAGTTAAAAGACTGATTAATATTCTTTACGATCCTTCCCATTTTTATTACATCCATGTTGATGCGGTGAGTCAAGCCTATTTGAAGATTATCCTATATTTTATTTACTAAAGATGAAAGAAACGTGAAGTTGTTTTATATCGCAATATCTCGAAACTGCCTGACCGCTAATCCTCAATTCTGATTGGTCAATGAGTCACGAAAAGTAGTCGCTGAAAAAATCCCCGGTATTTTAAAATTTTTCTGCATCATACTTTTCATTTTCTCATGTGTGAAGCTAATCTTTATATCAAAATATATCTAAATTGCCTAATTGTTGATCATGAGAAACAAAACAGTATTTCTAAATTTTTTANCGAAACTGCCTGACCGCTAATCCTCAATTCTGATTGGTCAATGAGTCACGAAAAGTAGTCGCTGAAAAAATCCCCGGTATTTTAAAATTTTTCTGCATCATACTTTTCATTTTCTCATGTGTGAAGCTAATCTTTATATCAAAATATATCTAAATTGCCTAATTGTTGATCATGAGAAACAAAACAGTATTTCTAAATTTTTTAAACTCACAAATTATTCTTCACTTCCCAAATTTTAATTTTTTCATATTTATCACACGCCAAAATGATCAATTCTTGCTTCTCAGATTTTCATACATAAATTCTAAACTCTACAAAATTCAGGAAAATTCTTCGGTTTCCCAAATAATTCGAGCAAAACCTGTGATCTACGGTTATCTGGAAAACTGAAATTTTCCGACGAATTCAAGAAATTTTTTCAGTTTTCTAGGAAATCAATTCATAACCCTCCCCTCATTTTTCAACAATTACAAACTTTAATCAGATTATTTTAAAAAGTAAAAAAAAAGAAGTAATCGAAGATTAAAAATTATGCATTGATGCTTCACTCTTCATTCTCTTACTTCTCTTCAAGTCATTATCAATATTTATAAAACATCTATGAGTATATGAAGTTTAATAAATTCGATTTCTTCATTTTCACAACAAAAAGGTAAGCGCGCGCGAAAGCGCGCGCACAGATCTAGTTGTTTTTTAAAACGTCCCTATATCATCGTTTGAGCTGAGTAATTCTCTCTCTGAGTAATTCTCTCTTCAAAAAAAATTCCTTCGGAAAAAAATCCCCCGGAAAAGATTCCTTCGGGAATAATTTTCTCATGCAATATTTCCTCCTGTAAAAATGCCTCATGCAATAATTCTTTCCCAGAACCATGGGATAAACTTGTTTTGGACAGCACAATCTCTCCGAAAATCCCATAGTTAACTAAAAAAATATTTAACCAATGTAAAAAAAAATGTTTTCATAGTTTTTTTCTCAAATTTTTTTTCCAAAATAATTCGTTCTGAAGGAATTTTTTCCAAAGGAATTTTAGGCGGACACCTCTCTCCCCACTCCAAAAATCAAACAAAAAATGGGAATTTCTATAGAAAGTATTTGTATAGAAAAATCGCATCCCATTGATTTTTTCCATAGAATATTTTCCATCGAACATTCTCATTAAATAACAGCGCAAATAAGCTGTGGAATTTTTCGATGAAATCGCCCAAAAAATAACAGAAAATTCAATAGAAATCCAATGGAATTTCCCAGCACAGTCCCTAGATATCTCTGAAATTCTTTTGTCCATTAAATAAAAATTCTTGAATTTAATGAATTGTCCAATTAAATCGAATCAACAATTACAGAGACAAGACTACATGTACCGAGAGATGTTGGAAGTCGAGAAAAAATGTTCCCTGAAGAACATAAAAGTAGCAAAAGGTGGTTTGCGTCACGCCAGCATCTGGGGTGGAGCCAGCCTACTAACGACCCTCCTGACATCAGCCCGCCAAATGCTGCAACACTCGAAAGACTGGGACTTCCTCGTGAACCTCTCCGAGTCTGACTTTCCCGTGAAGAGCAACGCCCAGTTGGTCGACTTCCTCACCCTGAACAAGGGCCTCAACTTCGTCAAGTCCCACGGTCGTGAGGTCCAGCGTTTTATAACGAAACAGGGTTTAGACAAGACCTTCGTGGAGTGCGAGGCCCGGATGTGGCGCCTGGGCGACCGACAGCTGCCCAAAGGCATCCAAATCGATGGAGGAAGTGACTGGATGGCCCTCAGCCGAGATTTCGTGCAGTATGTGACGCAGGAAAACCCAGACTCCCTCATCAGTGGTCTTCTCCAGGTGTTCAGGTACAATTCAGTAGCGAAGTGGTAAAACGGTTCAAGTCGATTTTGACTATTGGCCAGTTTTTAGTGAATATCTCGGAACCTAAGGGAGATAGCTAAATTTTCATCAGAACCTTTTCTGTAGCACTCAATTTGCTCTAGAAAAAAGGTCATTACGAAAATTCCATTATCTCCTTTAGATTCGGAGATATTCTTCAAAAACTCAACTTAGGGATAAGTCGACTTAAACCGCTTTACCACTTTGCTACTGATTTTTTTTCTCTGTAGAACGGCTTTATAGTTCCTATAGATTTTTAAACATCAGTTTTCTGCAGATTTTTTAGAGGAACCTGTATAGTACTTCCGTATAACCTTTCGATTAAAAAATCTGTAGAAAGAAAAAACTGTAGAAATTTTTAAAATAATTTTCTATAGACATTTCTTTCATTTTGGCCAATTGTATGGAAAAATTCAACTGGTTATGTACGCATTCTTTTTAATAGAAATGTTGGATGAAAAATATTCTATAGAAAAAATCAATAGCACTCGATTTTTCTGTACACCTTATTTGCTTGGGATATTTTCTGCAGAAATTCATCGGCTCAAATTTTCCACGTTTTTTTGATTGACTTTTTTAATGAAAGGAGACGAAGAATAAAATGGAAAAAACGAAAAATTCATGGAATTTCTACTGACCTTTCTGTTTGCTTCTTGCCAATTTTATTAAAATATTCCATTTTTTCAATAGTAATAGTCAATAGAAAATATTTTATAGAAAAAGATCAATAGAATCGGATTCTTTTACAGAGCTTTGTCTACTGAAATTTTTTCTGTAAAAATTGCTCAGTTCTAATTCTCTCACTTTTTTGTTTGATTTTCTTAAGGGGAAACGGAACCCCTGTGTTTATTTGAATTTTTAGAATTGTGTTTTCCCCTACAATTATTACTTTATATCTGTGCAATTACTTTGTCAACTTTGTCGACTTGATCATTGCATTGTTGAGTCAATGAAGTAGTTTCATAAATAAAAAATAATAATCGCAGGAGAAATCACAATTCTAAAGTTCATATAGACACAAGGGTTCCGTTTTACCTTAATGAGAAAAGGAGAAATATGAAGTGGAACAAATTGGAAAAATTCATGTCGAGGAAAAAGTTGTGTAAAAAGATGAAATTACAATGACTTCATCTATAGAATGGTTTCTTTGCCCATTTTCTATTAAAAAACGCAGATTGAACCTGCGAAATTCTTCGATAGAATCGGCCAAAGTAATAGAATTCCCAGTAGAAATCCAATAGAATTTTCTACCGAATTCGCCAGGTTTTCCTACGAAATCTTTTGTGCTTGTTCAGGTACACTCTCCTCCCAGCCGAATCATTCTTCCACACCGCCCTGCGAAACTCGATCTTCTGCGACACCTACGTCGACAACAACCTCCACGTGACCAACTGGAAGCGCAAATTGGGCTGCAAATGCCAGTACAAAGCTGTCGTCGACTGGTGTGGCTGCAGTCCCAACGATTTCAAACTCGAGGACTTCAACAAAATCAGAAATACCGCTGAGAAGAACCTGTTCTTTGCCAGGAAGTTCGAACCAGTCATCGATCAGAGGATAATCGACAAGATTGAGGAGTGGTTGTACCCTGAGAAATACAACAACTCAGTGGTGAAGGGGTTCGACAGGTAGAGTATTATATTTTTTATTTATTTATTGAAGATCATGCAGTCTAGGTCAATTATAGGTTTAAATCGTAAATAAAAACTAAAAATTAAAAACTAAAAACTAAAAACTAGAAACTAAAAACTGAAAACGAAGAGTAAAAGACAAAAACAATAAAAACAAAGAACAAAAAACACTAATTTATAAATAAATGTTGAATAAATAAAGTCAGTAGCGAAGTGGTAAAACTGTTTAAGTCGACTTATCTCCCAGTTGATTTTTTCAAGAATATTTCCGAATTTACGAGAAACAGCGAAATTTTTAGCGAAAGTTTACATTTGTTGTAGCTCTCAATGGGCTCTCCAAAAACGTTATAACAAAGATTTAGTATTTTCCTCAGATTCCGAGATGTTCATTGCTAATTGGCCAATAGTCAAAATTGAGTAGTACCGTTTTACCACTTCGCTGCTGAATTGTAAATATTATTTTCATTCGTTCATCAATTTTATTAATCCACATTTATTCATTCCCTTTGTACTCCAGATACTGGCAGAGTCTCTATCACCATGCTGACCTGACTCCACAATTCGACGACACACTCCTCACGATCTCGAATTCGCTGACTAGAATAATCTATTCCAAATATGGCTTGACATCGAGTCACATTCAACTGCTGGAGACGAGCGCCTACTTCGAGGGGAACGACTTCCGGGGGATTTTGGTGCATGCTGAGGTGGACATCAAGGCCTTCGAGTCTTCGACCTTCCAGAATGACTTCCCGGAGAGACTCGAAGCGTTCGTGATCCCGAGACGTGAGTTCACTGCAAGTAAAACTTGGTCTGCGAGGATTAGACACCTGGAAGTCAACACGGATTACGATCAGAAGGAGCAGATGTTCAGGAACTTCTTGGGGGGCATCGGGCCCTTGTCGAGTCCTGTTTTGTCTTATGAGTTTGACGCGTCCCTGGTGACGCCGAGGAATCTCAGTGTTCTGTGGATAGATCCAAGAGGGAATTTCGTGGACGTCAATCATCTTCAGTTGGAGGAGATGTCGTTGATGGGTTCGTTGAAGCCACAACTGGAGGAGCCACTGGCCATTGGGGAGTGGCAGGTCGTGATGATAGCTGATACTGTGGTGGTCAGTCACCTGAGCTTTCTGGTGAGTCCTCTGGGCTATTGGAAGAACAGGAGGATTACCGTGAGGAAGGTCAGGGAGCTGCATAATGGACCTGGTGGGAAACATCGAGAGCCCCCTGAGGTTGATAAGAAGTGGCTGCCTCTCCTGCAAGACGCAAACATAAATTTTCGTAGGGATAAGGATCACAATCATGACAACTTCACGGAGAATCGGGTCGGCTCGGAATTGAATGCCTGGATTGACGAGTTGACTTCGGAGTTCTATAGGATTGAACGCATATGCGTCAGTGATGATTCGAGGACTCCGGTGAGGACCAGTAAGAATGTTAGAAAATGCTCACAGAGCGATTGGAGCTCACTGAGTCCAGATCCTAAGGCTGATACTCACAATTTGTGTGGAACGTAGAACAAAAATCATTGTATTATAATCATTCATTGGAACAATCGAGGGGTGAAGTGGTGGGAGGAGATGAATCATTTTGCTTTGAAGATGACGGAATCATTATTAGATTTTTTTTATAGAACGAAATGGTGTTTTTTATTTTGCTTCACTTCTTGTATCTCAGGTGTGGAAAAATTCTATTATTCTGTTGGATAATTTTTTTTTCTTGGGGAAGGCCCAGGGCTGACTACTTTGGTCTCAATTCCGTTGATTCATTTTGTTCCACCAGTTCACGACTGATCTTATCACTCGTGGAACATGAAATACCTAGCGCCTTTGTATAAAAACATCTTCGCATATTTTTATAACTGAACATTATTACGATTGTATATACTGTATTTGTATCGAACAATATAACTACCTGTATAAAATTTTTACATCACCTACATTTTTTATTATGTCATGCATCATCTCGGGAGAAGAGTAACGCACGACACAATTTTTTAGAAAAACATAGTGAACTACGATAGGAAATTCTGTTGTATTTCTATTGAATTTGGGTTGCGAATCCCATTAGTTTTAGATTTTGGCTGATTCTATTGAGGAATACCGTAGCTTTCTGCACATTTTTCTTTAATGAAAATGGATTCATTTCGTCCAGGAATTTTCCGGCGTGAATTTTCTATGCTTTATCACGCTATTTTTCTTCTCTCCTCTCCAAAACCCTATCACCCCCCCGCCCCCCCAACAATCCCTAGGAAATTTTTCATTTATGTCGGATGAAATGTTTTTGAAATTCTACCGATTTCTTTCTATAAAATCGTTCCTAGCGAACATTTTCTGTAAAAAAAGGGGAATTCGCGCAGTAATGCGCCGAATTCTTCGATAGAACCCCAAACGACCCCCCCCCCCCCCCCC